TCTGTCGCCCAGACTGGAGTGCAGTGGCCGCTCCCAGCCACCGCAGCCTCGACCTGCTGGGCTCCGGCGATCCTTCCGCCTCAGCCTTCCGAGTTGCCGGAATTACAGGCACGAGTTACCACGCCCGGCTGATTTTTTGATTTTTATTGTAGAGATGAGGTCTCGCTGCCCAGGCACGTCTCAAGCCCGCGGGCTCAGGCAATTCACTCACCTCAGCCTCCCAAAGGCACGGGATTACAGGCTGAGCCACCGAGCCCGGCTCAAAATAGGTATATTCTTAAATCAATAGTATACAGCAATAAAAAAGAAAGAACTACTTAACGCAAAATATAGATAAATCTCAAAAAATTATCTTCAGCAAAGCAGCTAGACGCATCTGAAGTTCTCACACGAAGTTCCAGAATAGGCAAACTAACCCTTAAGGTAAGAAATGGAACAGTGCACACCACTGGGCGGGCATATTTCACTGGGAAGGGCTACAGGGAGCCTCGTGGCAGCAAAACTAGATGCCGAAATCCACCTGGACACTGCAGCCTGCTGGAGACGGCATTCAAGACCCATCAGCCCCACAGGGGCCTTTTCCTGCTGAGGCAGGATGGAGTGTCTCCTTCCCCATGGTACCCCAGCGCCTGCCAAGCGCCCAGAAAGAGCTGGTTGTCAGCCGACAGATGTCAAATGAGTGAAGGCATGCAGAAAAGACACCTGCAAGTTGGCAGCATGTATTCGGTCCTCACAGCTGTGTCTGCCTCGACCAGGAACTCCCCTCACTCCCCAAGCGCCTGGGCCCAAACATACCTCAAGGAAGTCATCTCCCTCGCTGGGCAAAACCTTGCCCTGCCGCCAGCGCTTGAGGAACCATCTGAGCTTCATGAAGAGCAGCAGGAAGTTATGCTTGAACTGCTGGGACTCCTGCACCAGCATGTTCTTCTCCTGGCTCCAGAATTTCTGCTCCAACCTCCGCTGGAGGCTCAGACTCTGCAGTTCAAACTCTCGCCTCAGGAGTGCCCTCTGTTGGTCTTCTTTCAGCTGCCGGAAGGCAAGAGTTTGAGCAATCCCAGCTTCACGGGCCACCAACCCACCCCACCCCTGGTCCCAGACCATGGGAAGAGGAAAATCTGGGCGGTGCCTGTGAGTGATCCTGGCCAGGGACCGTACCACTACTGGCTCATTCTGTGGAGATGAGCATGGCCCTTGGCTACTCCAGAGGAGAGACGCCTAAAAGCAGCAACAGCCTCAGTGTGAAATCAGTAAAGGAGCTGGGATTTGGCCCAGGCTCTGACTAAAAGAAATCAGCACATCACATACTGAGCACCTGCTGGGCACCCTTCTCACATTCCATGAAGACCCCATGAGGGGAGCCATGACGGCAGGGAGGGATTGAGAACAGGTGATGAGCAGGATACCCAAGGAAGCAATGCAGCGTCATGGCTGAGACAGAGACTTGGGTGAGACTCCCAGCCCACTTTGATTGGGATGTACAACCCTGGGCAGAGCACTTCAGCCCTCTGGGCATCAGTCTCCTCATCTGTAAAATGGGGACAGCTCATAGGGAAGGACATGAGGATTAAAGGATATAACGTGTGCAAAGTGTATGGCATAGGCTTGGTATGCCTTAAGAAATACTATTCTAGCAGGGCTCGGCGGCTCTGCCTGTAATACCACGCCTTGGGAGGCTGAGGTGAGTGGATTGTCTGAGCCTGCGGGTTCGAGACCCGCCTGGGCAACTTAGTGAGACCTCATCTCTACAATAAATCAAAAAACTAGCCGGGAGTGACAGCGCATGTCTGTAATTCCAGCTTCTTGGAAGGCTGAGGTGGAAGGATCGCCGAAGCCCCAGCAGGTCAAGCCTGCGGTGGCCGGGAGCAGCCACTGCACTCCAGTTGGGTGACAGAGTGAGACTCCAACTTAAAAAAAAAAGGAAATGCTATTTTAAGCCGGGCTCAGTGGCTCAGCCTGTAATCCTGTGCCTTGGGAGGCTGAGGTGAGTGGATTGTCTGAGCCCATGGGTTCAAGACCCGCCTGGGCAACTTGGCCAGACCTCATCTCTACAACAAATTTAAAAATTAGCGCGCGCCTGTAGTACCAGCTACTTGGAAGGCTGAGGCAGAAGGATCGCAGGAGCCCAGCAGGTGGAGGTTGCGGTGGTCGGAAGCAGCCACTGCACTCCAGTCTGGGCGACAGAGTGAGACTCCGACTCAAAAAAAAAAAAGAAAAATGCTATTCTGGGACAATTATCTTGATTAGCAGCCAGGCCTGATGGAGGCGCCATTTCACAGACGGGAGACTGAGGTCCTGAGAGGAAACAGGACTGGCCCAAGGTCACACAGGCGGCTAATGACAGATTCAACTCCACACAGTTCCTGCACAATCACAAGTGCAGGAACATCCAGCAGAACACGGGCTGGAAGCCTCAGGTTTCCCTGACATTCTTGCCTTCCAAGGGCCCACAGATCCCCAAGGCCTCTGCCCCCAGTTCTGAGAGGCTGTACAAGGAGTTGCACAGAAGGCGCTGGGCACCACGCACCTGGACCACCTTCTGGCTGAAGGCATCAGCCTCTTCCTTCCGTAGTTGCCGCTCCTGGGAGAGCTGCTCTTGTAAGCCCCGAAGGCTGTCATGGGCCTCAGCCAGAACCAGCTGCAGCTCCTTGATCTGGGGTGGGGCGGGGGACACAGAGGGAAGAAGAGGACAGGGGTTGTGATCTAAGATGCAAGTGCTAGGGAGCAGCAGCAAACGGGACCCAGCTGCCCGAATCAGGTGCAATGACTGTCCTTACCTCAGTGGGCTGTCGTGATGGTTAAATGAAATCATGCATATCAAATCGGACTATCCTAGCATTTAACTTAATCATCTCTCTTTGAAATTTATCTGAAGAGAATAATATGCTGTGAAAAGTATGATTCACAAAGATGTTCATTGTCTCATTGTTTATCATTGCAAAATTTTAGAAACAATTTAGATAATAAATGATGAGGATTAAAATGTGTTTAGTGGGCCGGGCGAGGTGGTTCAAGTCTATAATCCCAATACTGTGGGAGGCCGAGGCAAGAGGATTACGGGAGCCCGTGGGTTCGAGACCAGCCTGGGCAACATGGTGAGACCTGTCTCTACAATAAATCAAAAAATTAGCTGGGCATGGTAGCACGCGCCTGCAGTTCTGGCTTCTTGGAAGGCTAAGGTGGAAGGATTGTCTAAGCCCAGTAGGTTGAGGCTGCAGAGGCTGGGAGCATGCCACTGCACTCTAGCCTGGGCGACAGAGTGAGACTCCAACTAAAAAAAAAATGTGTTTAGTGGCTCTATAAATATATAAAAATATATTATTACGTTATACTTCAACAGAAAGAAAAAAAAAGATATATACCTCAATAGAGAAACATGCAAACGACACAGGCACATTAGATAGGAGTTAACTGCGATGATCTTGTGATCTTGATCCTTCTTCATATGTTTATGCAATTCTGTTTGGGGACGTTTTTTGTAGTTATTCATTATTTATAATGACTATGGAATAAGATCTCAAGAAAAAAATAATAAAACTACATTTTCAGGGAAAGTATGTTTAACAATAGTTGTAGTTAAACAGGTAAAACCTCGGTTAGAAGTCAGGTGGTAAAAAATAAAAAAATTTAAAAAAAGAAGTCAGGTGGTGGCCAGGCACAGTGGCTCAGGCCTGTAATCCCAGGACTTTGGGAGGCTGAGGTGAGAGGATCGTCTGAGTCCAGGGGTTCAAGACCAGCCTGGGCAACTTGGCGAGACCTTGTTTCTACAATAAATAAAGTGCCGGGCTCGGTGGCTCAGCCTGTAATCCCGCGCCTTTGGGAGGCTGAGGTGAGTGGATTGCCTGAGCCCGCGGGTTCGAGACTCACCTGGGCAGCGAGACCTCATCTCGACAATAAATCAAAAAATCAGCTGGGCGTGGTAGCACTTGCCTGTAATTCCGGCTACTTGGAAGGCTGAGGCAGAAGGATCGCCGGAGCCCAGCAGGTCGAGGCTGCGGTGGCCGGGAATGGCCACTGCACTCCAGTCTGGGCGACAGAGTGAGACTCCAACTCAAAAAAAAATTAAACAATAAATAAATAATAAATAAATAAAAATTAGCCGGGCATGATGGCGTGCGCCTATAGTTCCAGCTAATTGGAAGGCTGAGGCAGAAGAATCACCTGAGCCCAAGAGGTCAAGGCTGTGGTGGCCGTGAGTGTGCCACTGCACTCCAGTCTGGGCAACAGAGTGAGACTCCAACTAAAAAAAAAAGAAAGAAGTCAGATGGTGACAAGAAGACCTTCCAGGGGCGGACCATGCTCTGTGCATTGATCTGGGCACTGATCACACAGGAGGGCTTAGTTTCCAAGAATTATTTGAGCTGTCAACTTACAATGTGAGTAATTTTCTGTATGTGTTCTATACTTCAATATAATTTTTAAAAAAATATTTCTAATAACAGGGAAATGTTTATGCTGTCACTTTAAGCAGGGGGTTGAAAAGAGGACAGACGTCAGCCCCAATTCCTACATAAAATCTTCCCGGGCATGGCAGATGTCTCTCTATGAAAGAAAATAAACTTCTGGCCAGATGTGCTAGTGCACACGTATAGTCCCAAATACTTGGGAGACTAAGGTGCAATGATCACCTGAGCCCAGGAGGTTGAGGTTGCAGTGAGCCAAGATCAGCCTGGGCAACAGGGTGAGACCCAACTCAAAAAAAATTTTTTTTTAAAGAAACCTTTATTACGCAGCCAATTGCGATCCTATGGCAGCGGAAGACGCACTGGCTGGAGGTGGATCTTGCACACACATTTGGCCCGAACAATCCTTGCTGCTGTCTCTGAAATCCTTCTTGAAGTGAGCTGTTCAGCACACTGCCGGGCAGCTGCCACTGCTCAACAGAGTAGCTGAATGAGACACCTGAACATGCGCACTTTGCTGAAGGAGGTGGTCTTCTCCACAGGTGAGCCTGCAGAAAGGGGCTTCTGTTTTTTCTCAGAAAATGAGGACTAAGTACCTCGTCTTCTCTCTTTTTTGAGTTGGAGTCTCACTCCGTCACCTAGGCTGGAGTGCAGTGGCACACACCCTCATGGCCACCCCAGCATTGGCCTGCTAGGCTCTGGCAATCCTTCCACCTCAGCCTTCCAAGAAGCCAGAATTACAGGCACACTCTGCCATGTCCAGCTAATTTTTTTATTTATTGTAGAGACAAGGTCTCGCCACATTGCCTGGGCTGGTCTCGAACCCACAGGGTCAGGCCATCCCCTCACCTTGGCCTCCCAAAGTGCTGGGATTACAGGCTTGAGCCACCACGCCTGGCCTTTTTTCTCTCTTTTTGCAATGGCTTCTAGGAAACTCAGATCAGCTCACTTAGAGTCTGATCCATCAGCTTCATGGATGCTTCCCCTCCCCACACAATTATGGACTGGCCTTCTAGGACGCCAGGGCTGCACAGAAGATAAAGGTGCTCAGGCTGGGCTGGACACAGGACCTACCCTGGCTCGGAGTCTCAGGGATGTCCCACCCAGCTCGCAGGAGTCTTTTCCTGCTTCGGGTGCATGAGGAGGGGCCTCGGAGGGCCTTGGAGGGGGGCGGCTCAGAACCACTCGCAACGCCTCGAGAATCAGAGAATACCAGTAACTCATAGCCCTCACTCACTCCAAATCTCCCATGTTACGTTACAGACAGGAAGTTGCAGCCAGAGGGTGGAAACAGGTGCAAGGCATGCAGTAACACAGGAAGAGCTGAGACTTGAACTCAAGCCCCCTGGGTCCCAGTGACATGTTATTATCATCATCATCACCCTCACTCAGTGCAGACTTTTTTTTTTCCGGGGTCAACCCAATTATATAATCACATCGTAACTCCCATAGAGGATGGACTTTTCAATAACCCTATGAAGGACATTCATTTTATAGGTGAGAAAACTGAGAATTTAGAGAGATAAAATGACTTATCCAAGAACTCACGGCCACCTCAGACCGAATTCACAATTTAAACCCAAATAGCCTATAGAAACTGCTGCCTTCTTTTACACAAATTAGTAGTTCTGCCGGGCATGGTGGCTCACGCCTGTAATCCCAGCACTTTGGGAGGCAGGGGCGAGAGGACTGCCTGAGCTCAGGGGTTTGAGACCAGCCTCTACAATAAATCAAAAAATCAGTTAGACATGGTAGCACACGCCTGTAGTTCCGGCTACTTGGAAGGCTGAGGCAGAAGGATCGCCGGAGCCCAGCAGGTTGAGGCTGTGGTGGCCAGGAGCGTGCCACTGTACTCCAGTCTGGGTGACAGAGGGAGACTCAACTCAAAAAAAAAAAAATTGGAACATAAATTATTAAATTTCCAGTGGAATTTAATACAGAAAAAAATAATTTCTTCAGATGCGTGTATAAGTTTCCTTGGCTCAGGCTGTGAGAATGGCCCAAACTTCCTTATTTCCCTTTCTGCCCTGGTTTCCACGAAGCTCAGAACCAAATGGAATGCTCAAAATCCATATCACCACCAGCTAAGGGATCCATAGGTCACTTTCTGGAGGTCCCAACCACCCTCTTCCTACCCAAGGTCCTGCTTGCTCAGGCCTAGACCCACCTCAGAGGCATAGGAATCGTTGTCTTCAGCTCGGTAAGGCCGGAAGCTCCGGCTGGCATCAGGCTTGGAGTCCAGGTCACCAGTGTGGAAGGCTTCACGGATCCTGGGCTCCCATTCCGGCAGATCCCTGAAGTCAGGAGGCTGCTTCAGAAGCACAGGCAGAAGAGACCAAAAATAATCAGGAACAGCCAGGAACAGTCTCCCCCACCAGGCCCCGGGCTCTATATAAGGCTCTCACCACCCACTTGAGGGCCGGGACCCAGGTGGAGTTGCCTTTGCAGCCCAGCCCCAGCCCTGGCTGGAGACACGGCCACCACTTGATGAATGCGTGCACAAGGATAAACAAGGAGGCGAGTGAAGGCTGAAAACATGGCTGTTCTGAGCCAGCCCCAGCTCCTACAACACGCGTGGCCCTACTCAGTCCTCCATCAGGGGCATTAGGAGGAGCTGAGGAGAGGCTTGCTTAAAAAAGCAAGATCAGGCTGGGCTCAGTGACTCAGCCTGTAATCCCAGCACTTTGGGAAGCCTAGGCGAGTAGACTGCCTGAGCCTATGGGTTCGAGACCAGCCCAGGCAACTTGGTGAGACCTCGTCTCTACAATAAATCAAAAAAATTAGCCGGGCGTGGTAGCACGCGCCTGTAGTTCCAGCTACTTGGAAGGCTGAAGCAGAAGGATGGCCGGAGCCCAGCAGGTCGAGGCTGCGGTGGCCAGGAGTGGCCACTGCACTCCAGTCTGGGCAACAGAGTGAGACTCCAACTCAAAAAAAAAAAAAAAAAAAATTAGCAGGGCATAGAAGCGCATGCCTGTAGTTCCAGCTACTTGGAAGGTTGAGGAGGACGTATCACCGGAGCCCAGCAGGTCAACACTGGGGTGGTTGTGAGCATGCCACTGCACTCCAGTCTGGGTTACGGAGTGACTCCAACTCAAAAACAAAAAACAAACAAACAAAAAACCCCTGCAAGATCAGGCCAGTGCAACAGGGCCTGAGTTAAAAGAATCATGGCCATGCTCTGCTGTGTAGTTGTTTAAACAAACAGCTTGATCTCTCCTCTCCCTGGAGATGGAAAGACCCTGCCACTGCTCTCAAGACGAAGACCAAACCTCCCAGATGCTCTGGGAGGTCCAGCCTTGCACCTTCTCCTCCCTCCGCACCCCAGATGTCCCATGCTCCTTCCACCTCTGATCTGAGTTGTGCCTTTGCCCAGGCTGTTATCCCTGCTGAGAATACTGTTCTCCCAGTATTCTTTGACCTCAGATCAGATCAGAGGCTTTTCCTGACTCTGGGGTCTAGGTCAAGTTCCTTATTCATAAAGCCATGTACCTCTCCTCCCCGCCTTTCTTCTCAGTTTGTAAATTCATACTATTGGCGTGATATCTTGGTTGACTTTTGCCCACTAAACACAAGGCCATGACCGCAGGAATCGCATCTCTCTGTGCTACCACGACACCCTCAGCGCTGTGCACAGTAGTGCACGAACAGCAAACAAGGCATCACAGGCAAGTGAACAGACTGACACACTGCATCGTAGAACAAGTGTAGTGGCACAAGACATAAAACAATTGGGTGGAAAAACAAATACGTGACAGAGTCTGCAGAGAGAGACAGAGAGGAGCCGGGCTGCAGGGATGAGATATTCCAGATCTATGATCCACAGCCAAGACACACGCACTCCTGAGCACCTGGAAGGTGGCCGTTGGGGCTGAGGAACTGAATTTTCAATTGTATATCATTTTATTTTATTTTTTGAGTTGGAGTCTCACTCTGTCACCCAGACTGGAGTGCAGTGGCCGCTCCCAGCCACCGCAGTCTCGACCTGC